ACAATCTGCACTTTTGTGCCCAGTCTTCTTACAAACACGACATTCAGGGACAAGGTTACCATTCTGGTTGTTTTGATGGCTACGTCCTTGCTGATTGTTGTTGTTATAGTTGCCTTTGTTGTGATTCTTCCGCCAATGAGATTCTCCTTTACTTTTTCTGTTTTGGGACTTTTGAGATTCTCCTTTTTGTTTGTCTTCTTTCTCCTTCGAATCCAACTTGGATTGAAAAGCTTGCTCCAAGGAGTGGTCTGTAGACCTATTAATCCTTTTTCCAGTTCCTCGTAACCATCTTCTACAAGATCCCAAAGATCTTGAGAGATGAACAAGGTCTTCATTTGTAGACTCCAATATTCATAATTCTCTCCATCGAAAATAGGCATTAAATTTTGAATATTTCCAATGGTTGAGGAATTTGAACTTGATGCCATGATTAACACAGCGGAGGGATCGATTAGCTCTGATATACCAAATTTGTTGGAGAAAGATGGATAAGAGAGAATATGGAAGAGAGTTTTAAACAGAAATACTGAAGCTTTATTGATTTCCTAAAAATTGATTACAACACTAGGCCATCTTATTGGCTATTTATAATAATATTAAGATCTTCTCATAACAAACATAACTCTTGGATTAGTTCCAAGAGTTGCAAACACAACTCTTGACTTCTAAAGAGATACAACTCTTCTTAAACAAAACTCTTCTCAAGAGATACAACTCTACTTTAATAACTGATACAAATGCATTACGTTTAACATATGTAGGCATAGCCATTGCAACAGCCTTAATAAGCACTTCCTTCCCGGCTGTAGATAAAAATTGTTCTGCCCATCCTTGCAGGCGTTGGGTAATCTTGACCCGCACGTTCTCAAAAACTTTCTTCTTCGACTGCCCAAAGTCAGCAACTATACCCAGGTATTTCCCAAACTCCTCCTTCTAACGTATCCGAATAAGTACCTCTAATTTTCGGCGCCATCAGCTTGGGCAATTGTTACTAAAGAATAAGGAACTTTTTTCATAATTAATACATTGTCCCGACCCTTCCTCGTAGCACCTCAACGCCCGCTGCACATTTACAACCTCATGTTCCTCAGCTCTACAAAAAATAACCGAATCATCAGCAAATAATAAATGAGAAATCTGCACCCCTTCTGCTCGAATCTGAAAGCCATGGATGAGCCTGTCCTCTTCATATTTACGAAGCAAAGCTGTCAAACCCTCCGCACAAATAAGAAAAAGGAAAGGGGAGAGAGGATCCCCTTGACGGAGCCCTCTCGACGGCACAATATGACTCGTAGCCTCACCGTTGATCATAACACTATACGTGACTGTGGAGATACATTCCATGATCCAGTGACAGAGAGTCTCTCCAAAACCCAGGGTACGTAGCATCTCCCCTACAAAAACCCACTCCACCCTATCATAGGCTTTTGCCATGTCAAGCTTGATCGCCATCTCGCAGAGCTCACCCCTCTTTTTCTATTTCAACGAATGTAAAATCTCATGAACCACTAAAATATTATCCGTGATCTGTCTATCTGCCACAAAGGCCAATTGGTTGTGGCTTATAATCTTTGGTAAGACCTTTTTGAGACGATTGGTGATCACCTTGGAGATGATTTTGTATATCACATTACACAGAGCAATCGGTCGGAGTTGCATCATAGTTCTAGGGCTAGGTACCTTTGGAATAAGAACTAGGTGTGTATGATTCCACTTCTTAGTCATCTTCCCATGGTGAAAAAAACTTTGAACAGCTCCTATAACCTCAGTCCCAACCGTACCCCAAAATTGATGATAAAAGCTTCCTGTAAACCCATCTGGCCTCGGTGATTTTAATGGGTGTATGTCCTTCATCGCAGAATAAATTTCCTCCATCTCCACTGCCTTCAAAAGCTCTCTATTATCTTGGTCTGTAATCTGTTGCTCAACGCATGCAAAAATTTCGTGGCTCTGCGAAGGGTGGGTCGTCGCAAAAATCTCCGTGAAATAGGACACTGCAATAGCGTTAATAGAGGCCTCATCTATATGCCACTGACCAGCAGCATCCGATAAACCCATAATTCGATTTCGTCGTCGTCAAGTAGTGACCTTGGAGTGAAAAAACTTAGTGTTTTTATCCCCTTCATTTAACCATTGTATTCTGGACTTGAGTTTCTAGTACCCTTCTTCCTCTCTCAAGGCTTTCTTTAGTTCCTGCTCCTTCCACCTCACTTGTTCTCCATTAAAACAATTGGCTTGATAGTCTTGGGATAACTCTCGTTTGAGTAATTGTACTCGCTGCATGTTGTTACAACCTTCCCGCTTGCGCCATCTCAAAATCCCCATCCGCACATATTTCAAATTGTCAAAGACCTTGCCAAGATTATGGCCAAATTTTCAAAGACCAACCAAATATAGTTTGGTTTATTAGTGGATTATGCTCTTCTTC